GATTCAAGTAAGGATTTGAATCAGGAAACCTCCTAATGAGATTAGGAGAGAATTGATCTAATATGCAGATAAGATAAGGAGTTATCCTTATCTCTTAAAGAGAACTCCTTATCCAAATAAAGATTTGGATTAGGAAACTTCTAATGAGATTAGGAGCTCCATTTAAGGCTATAGAAGAAGGAGGGGGCGAACCATTCATCCCATCCAAGACTCTAGAGATCAGATCTTAGATCACACAGAGAGAATACAACAACAGTGTGACTGCGCCATCTTCTCCCTACGTTCTCCTCCATTTGCCGCCTGCTGCTAGTTCGATCTCCAGTTTTGTAGGAGTGATCAAGAACAGTTCTTGGTATCAGCCATTGGAAAAAGGCTGATCTGAAGTCGTGCTCACAGCCTCCATCGAATTCTTGTTGAAGGGTTCGGTTCTTGGGAAGAACACTGCTGATTCTGCTCCCCCATACACTGTGTCATCTTCAGTGGGAGTAGTCTTTGGAGATTTTTTTTGGGTGTGAACACCTTCATTGGGAGATACTATTTCTTTGTATCAGGTATATCCCTCTCCTACTTTTGGTTTTAGATCTGGTTCGGTTTAGGGTTCAAGATTGATCCTTGAAAATGCAAATTTTCTAAAACAGGGAATGTAATTCCCAGATGGGAGAGAGAGAAATTTTTTAAATTTTGCCCTACCTTCCTGTAGGGTTCGATCATCCATATGATGGATCTCTCATCCCTTCATTATGATGTGTCAGATGGCGAAAAAACTATGTGCTATGCAACAAAAAATATAATTTACGATGTCCTAGAGGCAAAACTTATTTGCTATGTAGCAGAAAAATTCTAATTCATGATGTGCTAGAATCGAAAAACTCATATGCTATGCAGTAGAAAATTCTCATTTGTGATGTGCCAAAGGCAAAAAACTCATGTGCTATGCAACGAAAAATCTGATTCTGTGATGTGTCAAAGGCAGAAAACTCATGTGCTATGTAACGGAAAATCTGATTTATAATGTGCCAAATGGAAAAAAATCTAAATTTGAAATGTGTCGAAAGACGAAAATTCCACGTGCTATTTAGCGGAAAACTTGATTTATGATGTGCCAAAGTGAAGGAAAAGCATGGTTCATGTTGTGTTGGAGGTGGAAAAGCTCATGTTATATAAAGTGAAAAATCAATGGTTTATGATGTGCCAAAGTGGCAAAAATGCTCATGTGCTATTAAGCGGAAAAGCATATGCCATAGTGCAGAGAAACATGTACTGATAAGCGAAAAACACTAATTTATGATGTGCCAAAGGGAGAAATATTCATGTGCTATGCAGCAGAAAACTCATGTGCTATAAAGTGGGGAAACCTGTGCTAAAGAGCGGAAAAATCTGATTTATTTTGTGCTAGAGGCAGATGTGCTATGTAGCGAAAAACTCATGTGCTATAAAGCGAAAAAACCTGTGCTAAAAGTGGAAAATTCTGATTTATTCTGTACTAGAGGTGGAAAACTTATGTGGAGCAGCGGAAAATTTCATGTGCAATGGCGGAGAAACCTATTTTAAAAGTGGAAAATTATGATTTATTCTGTGCTAGAGGCGGAAAACTTATGTGTAGTGGTGGAGAAATTAAGTATGCAGTAGCGGAAAAGGTTTTGTGCAATAGTGGAGAAATTATTGTGCAAAATGATGACAAAACTGAGAATTCAAAAATGCCAAGAGCATGCCATATGCAAAATGTGATAAAAAGTTCAAGAAGTATCATCTCAATAGATTCGCTTTGGGAAACACCTAGGTTTTATGAGAAATTGCCCTATCATGGTAACCAATTTGGCTAACACCGGCTATGGCAACATCAATGAAATGTTCACAGATCCGGCATCACCTTTTTATCTGCATCCATCTGATAATCCCGAAACTGTGCTCGTATCCTGTCCATTGAATGGTGATAACTATTCAACCTGGAAAAGAGCAATGTTAAATGCTCTTTGGGTGAAGAATAAGGTCGGATTTGTCGATGGCACGATTGTGAAGCTTGATGTTTCCAGAAGTTCAAAATTACTTGCTTGGAGAAAGTGCAACTCAATGGTGGTTTCCTGGATCTTTAATGCCCTATCTAGAGATCTATATCAGTGCATTGCCTATGTTGAAAGTGCTTGTGAGATTTGGATGGATCTTAAAGGCAAATACGATACTCACAAAGAAATGCTTACGGGATTTTCACCTAAAGCGTGAATTAACCTTACTAAGTCAAGAAAATCTTCCAGTTTCTTCTTATTTTACAAAGATTAAAGGACTCTGGGGTGAGCTCTCCATCTATACAAATGTACCTTCATGTTCATGCGGTGGTGCAGTCAGAGAATTCCTTGCTGAAAGAGACAAGGAACGGGTGTATCAATTTCTCCTTGGGCTAAGTGATCGGTTTAATACAGTGAGATCCAACATCCTTGGAATGGATCCTCTACCAAGTATTGAGAAAGTATATTCCATGATTTCACAAGAAGAGAAACGTCAACTCTTCTTTGTCCAGAAGGCACCAGTTGTGGAGGCAGCTACTCTTCATGTACTGGCACATCCAAATTCAATTCCAAGAGTGGAAAAGATCATCCAAAATTTAAATGTGATCATTGTAAGAAAACCGAGCATACCAAAGATCGTTGTTATGAGCTAGTAGGCTATCCAGACAATTGGGAAAAGAAACCACGTACTGTGTCAAAGGTCAGCAATGAAAGGAATCAATCTAATGTTGCTTCAACATCCAACAACACTGTGAAATCCTCTCCTGTTACATGGCTGACTACTGATCAATATCAATGGCTACTTAGTCTTCTTTCCTGGACCACCCAATAGCACCGGTTTCATCCAACTTTGCTGGTAAGACAAATTCATTATCTTGGTCTTTTAATCCATCTGAATGGATATTGGATAGTGGCGCTACAGACCACATGGTACCTGTTGAGAACGTCTCTAGTGGTTCTAATACCACTTCAACCCATAAACCCGTGCAATTACCGAATGGCACTTTACTATCAGTTCAATCACAAGGAGATGTTAAGATGACCCCTAATCTTGTGCTCCGTGATGTCCTGTTTGTTCATGGTTTTCACTACAATTTTTTGTCCATAAGAAAACTTACTACGCAACTGAATTGTGTGGCCTTATTTTCCCCACCTTTTGTGTCTTGCAGGACCTTGCCTCCAAGGCACTGATTGGGGTAGGGACGATGCATGACAGACTATACCATTTCAACGCTTTGAACCCTTCTGCTTTTCATACTCAACATACAATTTCCTCAATCCTTTGGCACTCACGATTGGGGCATGCCTCTTATGGCCCCTTATTTCATATCCCTATTTTGCACATCATGATGCCAGAGAATGATTGTTGTGATACTTGTTTGAAAGCAAAACAAACCAGATTGTCATTTTCCATTAGTTGTACAAGGGTTGCAACTCATTTTGAATTGATTCACTGTGATTTGTGGGGAGGGTATCGTACACCTTCTCATAGTGGAGCACATTATTTTCTCACTATAGTGGATGACTACTCACAGGCCACATGGTCTACTTGCTTAATAACAAGTCAGATATGTACTTCTATTTTACCATGTTTTGTGCAATGGTCAATACACAATTTCAAGCCAAAGTAAAATCTGTTCGTTCAAATAATGGGTCTGAGTTTCTCTCTGGTCCCATGAAAGAATATTTAGCTGAACATGGTATTTTGCATCAACGGTTCTGCGTTGACACTCCACAACAAAACGGAGTTGTTGAACGTAAACATAGACATCTTCTTGAGGTGGTGCGGGCTCTCCGATTTCAGGCTCACTTACCCATACAATTTTGGGGAGAATGCTCCTAACTGCAACATACTTGATTTATTATCTACCTAACCCGTTGATTGATGAAAAGACATCGTATGAATTGATATTTCACAAACCTCCTTACAATCATTGAAGGTATTTGGTTGCCTCTCTTATGCTAATACCTCCAAGGTGGGGCGAAACAAATCCGCACCACACTCTCGTGAATGTGTGTTTGTTGGGTACCCTCAAGGACACAAGGGGTATCGCCTTTATGATTTACAAACTAGGCAGATATTTGTATCACATGATGTCATTTTTTCAAAGACCAATTTCCATTTGTTGGACATTCATCTGAAAATGGTTACTCTTCAGATATTGTGATCCCGTTACCAGGATGTGATGATGTTGACATGAGCTCACAATCAACCCATGGTCCAACTATTGATATTGACCCACCTCGTGAGATTGAATCACATATTGATCCTATAAAAATCTCAGATTTGTTAATGCCTACCTTGGGCCGACCCAGTCGTTCTCGTCGTCCTCCATCCCATCTTAATGATTTTGTATGTCCTACATTATCATCTACCAACACACAATACCCCATTTCCAATTATCTTACATCTTCACCCTTAGCTTTCCAAATAAACCTTATGCAAACACMCACTGAACCAAAGTCATTTACCCAAACACATCAGTTCCCTTGTTGGCACTAAGCAATGGTTGATGAGCTAGTTGCTTTAGAAAGAACTAATACATGGACCCTCACTGATTTGCCACCTGGAAAGAAGCCCATAGGCTGCAGTGGATTTATAAAGTCAAGCACAAGGTGGATGGCAGTGTTGAGCGGTTCAAAGCAAGCCTAGTAGCAAAAGGTTACACGCAAACCGAAGGCGTGGATTACACTGACACATATGCTCATGTGGCAAAGCTTGTCACTGTTTGATGTTTGTTGTCCCTTGTTGCGGCACGTCACTGGGAGCTTCACCATATGGATGTCAACAATGCTTTTCTACATGGAACATTGCAAGAAGAAGCCTACATGCTACCACTGCTAGGTTTACTTTCCCCAGGAGATGCATGCATATGTTGTCTTAACAAGTCCATATATGGCCTGAAACAATCTTCAAGAAATTGGTTTGATACCTGAGCACGAGCATTAAAGCAATGAGGGTTTGTGCAATCTCTTGCTGATAATAAACTCTTCACCATGACCAAGCCGGGGTGCTTTCTTCTTGTGTTGGCTTATGTTGATGACCTTGTACTAGCTGGGAATGATGCTTCCGCCATTGCARCCCTAAAACAGTATCTTAGCGATTGCTTTCCCATCAAGGACCTTGGACCTTTACATTATTTCTTGGGCATTGAGGTATCTCGTGATGATCATGGCATATTTCTTAGCCAACTTAAATACACGTTGGATATTCTAAAGGATGCTGGAATGCTTGCTTGTAAACCCAACCTATTTCCCATGGAACAACAACAACGCCTCCAACATGATTCCGGACCACCCATTGATCATCCAGCTCAATACAGAAGACTAGTTGGTCGCCTCATTTATCTGACTATAACACGACCCAAGATCACTTACTTAGTGCACATCTTAAGCCAATTCATGGCTGCTCCATGCCAACACCATCTGCAATGCATATACTTCCGTTATTTGAAATCTTTCCTAGATCATGGCCTTCTTTTGCCTTCACAAAATGATCTTGTTATGTGGACTTACTATGATTCCGATTGGGTTGGCTGCCCGACTACTCGTCGATCCACCACAGGATACTTCACCACCCTCAGCTCTTCTCCTCTTTCTTGGAAGACAAAGAAGCAGTCCGTTGTATCTCGTTCCTCTGCTGAAGCCGAGTACTACTTCATGGCTGCAACCACTAGCGAGCTATTATGGCTGAAACATCTCTTTCATGATTTGGGCCTCCATCATCCAGAGCCTAAACAACTCTACTATGACAACAAAGCAGCTCTTCACATTGCTGCTAATCCCGTTTACCATAAACGCACCAAGCATACTGAGCTTGATTGCCACTTCATCCGCCAGCACATTCAATCCTAAACCATTGCTACTGCACATATCTCCTTGAAGTTACAACCAGTAGATATCTTCACGAAGGCCTTGAGGCGGGACCAGTTTCAAGCTTTAGTTCCTAAGTTGGGCATCACCCAAGTCCATGCTCCAACTTGAGGGGGCATATAGCAGCACGTGTAAATCTGTTGGAACAGATTCTGTTAGTCCAGCTGTTCAATTGGACTGACAGCTTGCATTAGTTAGAACACCTGTGCTTATTTATCTATATATACTAAACTCTGTATTAAACAAACATGCTTTTCTCTGTTTTTCTCAATTGCTTCTCGCAACCATTACCTCTGCTCCAACCAAATTACAATCTTTACCGTAATTGGTTTTAGTAGCAAGTCCCTTATTTTTTGTTAAAGGGACCTTAACCTTTTCATGCTGTTCCAGACCTTTGATTAGACTGTTTGTCTGTTGGTTCCTGTTTAAAAACTTTGTACTTAATTTTTTTTCTTCCTTCTGATTTCTAAGAATATTTTCAGAAAACTCTTTTGAACAAACTTTCGGAGTTTCTGGTGACAACAAAGGACTAACGAAATGTAAGATAGGGTATGTTCTCCTTGTTTCCTAAACTAGCTAGGATGTTTTCTACTTGTGTGACCCAATCATGTTGGCAATGTAATCAATCCCTTGCCTTAGGTGATGCTTCAAGTCAGTAATTAAACTTATTTACGTTTATAGAAGCTATAGAGAAGGAAAAGTAAATTTAGAAAATGGAAATTAGGTAATAGGGGGGAGAAATACCTATTAATGTTTGTAGTGTTTACAACCTAGTTTTTCTCTACATTCATTACATGTTATGCCATCATGCTTGTGGTTGTGTTTGTATTGCACATCCCCTTTTTCATTGACTTGTGGTGCTAGGGGGGGTTTGCTTGCATGTTTTTCCATTTTTGTCCTTGTTCTTTATAGTTGAAGAATTATTAAAATCGTTTATAGCTTTTTTGTCCCTATGGTTCTCCTGAGTGATCTGGTGAATCACAAATAAAAATTAGTTAGCAAGAGGTAGGGTTGCAAACAATATCCAATTGTCCAAATTCAAATTTGAATTCCATATAAATTTGATTTGATTAGATATGATTTAAATATAACCGAATCAAATTTGGATCTACATTTGTTTTTATATAAATTATAAAATAAATTTAGATCTTACAAGAATTTGGTGTTTTAGTCAATTTTTTTTTTTTGGAACTGTTGATGCAAACTTCTGTGGTTCAACTCACCACCACACTAGGAACAACAATGGGGCAAGGCGGGGATGGGGAGCCACTCCTCTCCTCGTCCATGTTTTTGTACTCGTGATGGGGATATGGTTTTCCCCATCCCTGTCCCCATGGGGATCCCCGCTCCCCTCCAATTTTTTATGATGTCAAACTCGTTTTATTTTTTTTTATTTCTATTTCATTCCAAATTTTGTTAAAAATAGTTATAATTTATAATCCTATCAAAATAGATCTGAATATATTAATATACATTTAAACATATTCAACTATGTTTTTAAAAATATTAGCACACACACACAAGAATCATAATTTCTAAAAACCGGTTGATTGGCCGATTTAGGAATAACTTTAGGAAGGAATATACAAAGGGATAAACATAGAGGAAAGAGGGATGGGCCAGACATGCTGAGATGTCAAAACGAGAGAGGAAGAAATAAGTGATGAGGTGGCTTCATGAAGGAACAAAGAAGGCTAAAATGAAAAGGGGCTGAAAGTTCTCGATTGAGGTAAGGGAGAAAACTAAATTCATGACATGGCATGTTTCTATACCTCTTAGTGCTGTTGAGAATATTACTTGGGGACAAAGCATTATCGTAAACCTTGTATGTTAAGGAAGCAGCTTTACAAAGGAGAATAAAATAATAAAGCAGATAATAGAAAAATCAATTAATACCTTTCTACTGTTGGGGTTCACATCAGTACTCTTGGCGAATTTGCATGTTTCATGCACAACCTCTTTAAACATCCTTCCCGATTCCTTTTTGTAGGGTCTTTCAGATCCAAGTCTTTGGATGCATCTGGAAATAGGACCATTTCGCCTTGACATTTGGATCTCGGATTGTAGACTTGTAGTGACCAGCTCCCCACTCAGCAAGTCTGACTTAATCACTCCCCAGGTGCCCGTATGGAGGATCAATTTTCAATGGACTAATTTGTTTTCGGATTGCTTTATGCTAAGGCYCCGTTTGTTTTTTTGGTAAGTTATTTATTCGGATAAATGCAATTATCTGGATAAGTTTTTCTGTCTCCAGCAACGAAGGTTCCCAGCGACTGGACTCACCTAAAACAAGGTGTACTCGATAGTGGTTCACATATTTTCACTTGCACTCCTCGGTGGACTAGTTTCCATTAGAGAGATTATGCTATAACTCTGGGGAAGAAGCTCTTGGACGCGAACCATACAACTCTCTGATGATAACTGATCCCATACCTTGCCCATGAGCCACCTTCCGTTTAGACATAATCACATCTTCTCCTCTGGTTCTCACCTTATGTTGAGACATAATCACATCTTTCCTTTAATTTCTTCCTTAAGCCCTTCTCCATCGCATATTTAGTATAGCACTTGGCTTCTTTGTGACCCAGCACTCCTTGGAAGAAATAGAAAATGCGGAGCTTTTCATGCTAAAAATCATAGGTTAGATGGGCCCAGCCCACATAGGGCTAGAGGGCCCAGCCCACTAACGCCTACTAACGTCAACCACAGTAGGCGAAAGCCCTACTACCTTCGTACAAAGCCAATCACATAACTATCTAGCGTACCACCAGGGCCTATAGCCTGACTTCGTATGACTCTCATCCGAGGCGTTCATCCCTACCTACCACCAGCACGCTCGAGTATAAATAAGAGGTAACTGCCCCTGAAAAGGGATTAGAACAAAGTAGCTCCAACATTTACTCACTCATTTACTTCTTGCACGCACATTACCTGCCAATCTAGGAGATCTGGTGTATCCGAGGACTTTCTCCAGGAGCACTCTCGCAATCTCCCTAGCTTCACACCTTGTACTAACTTGAGCGTCGGAGCCTCCGCCTTGGGTATCCACCCCGAGGCCTCTAACACTCTGTCTTGTAGTGCCTCTGCCTCAGGTCAATAGGGACCTCACCTCGGCCGGTAGTCCTCGGCTACCATAGTCTTCGGTTACCATAGTCCTCGCCTCGGTTTGCTGTCCTCGGCTTCGGTCAACCTCTTCCGAAGCCTTAGGTTCCTTGGATAATGCTTGAAACTTGAAGAGTAAATTTACCTCGTTGCCCTTGGCCAAACCGCGCGACAACAATTGGTGCCATCTGTGGGAATCCGTTACTAAGACGACCCCCACTTTAGGATAAATAATAATAACACTCTAAGATCTAAAATCCCTGTAAACTCGGAAGCCATGGTGAGGAGAGCAAGGAACACCCCAAACCTGATTACCTACGAACAGTTTCAGGCCATTCTTGATCATTTGGACCGCCTCACCCAATGAATGGAAGAAGTCTGCCCCCGAGCAGGAGGTCTCAAGGCGACCGCCCCGTTGGGGTGTCAGAGGATCAGGGTCAGTGTGAAAAAATTGAGATACCGGCCCTCGGCCACAGTAATCCACTGGCCGAACCATTAGAATCGGGTAATAACCACCTCCTGGACTCACCTCGAAGGAATGTCTGTCCTCCGAGCCRAAGGGAGAGTGCGCRCGCTCAATCCGAACACAGTCATCAATCTTTGAAGCAACACCACCGTCGTCRTAGGGAGGTCCCCCAGGATGATGGCAGGCAGTTCGGCTGCCTTGGAGTTTGCTCCCGAGGTGAGAGCTGACGCCATCCCACTCCACCTCTTGTCTCGGACCTCAGGGACGTTCTGAATGATCGTCACATCTGTAGAGGAGCACGCGACCCTACCTCAGAGTATTCGGGAGTTCGAGTCGACGCCCATCGGGTCCGCAAAGACAAGAGCAGGGCCCATGCCAGTGCCGACCCAGGGATCGCCAAGTTGCAAGCCGAGATTGGGACTGAGAGGACGAGCTCCGCCAGGTTAAGGAGAGTCAAGCCGATGCATCAACCAGCCATGGCAACTCCACCAGTCACATAGACGCATTCACCCAGGAAATCATCTCAGAGCCTCTCCCCCGACACTTCAAGGCTCCCACGCTAGAGACGTACGAAAAAAGCTCTGATCCCGATGACAACCTAGAGGGTTTCCAAGCGCTCATGATACTATACGGCTATTCTGACGCCTTGACATGCCGGACCTTCCAAGCTACCTTTAGGGGAGCCACTCGCCATTGGTTCTCCAGTCTTCCCCCTCGATCGCCCGTGGGAACCAACTGATTGCCTATTGATGCTACGTGGCGGCGCTAAAAGGAAAAAATAAGGAGGCCTTATCATTGGAGGGCCTCGACCCCCAGGAAGAACTAGCGAGACGAGGCCAACCAGCCGAGGATCTCGTCTCGGTTCCCCTAGATAAGTCCAACCTCCCCCCTGAACGCCTATTTGAACTGGTAAGTTTCCTTAGAACTTACATCTTTGATCACCCCAAAGACGAGGATAAGACATCTTTCATCACTRAGCATGACACATATTGCTAAAAAGTGATTCCGTTCGGCCTTAAGAATGCAGGGGCCACTTACCAGCGCATTGCCAACAAGATTTTCAAGAATCAGATGGGGAGGAATGTCGAAGCCTACGTAGACAACATGGTGGTGAAGAGCCTGAAGGCCGAAGTACACACATCAGACTTGGCCGAGACCTTTGATACTCTGCGTAAGTTCAACATGAAGCTCAATCCAAGAAAGTGTGCCTTCGGGTTTACCTAGGAAATTCTTAAGCTTTGTCGTCACTCAAAGGGGCATCGAGGCCAACCCAAGCAAGGTACATGCCATACTAGAAATGGCATCCCCTCGGTCAGTGAAGGAGACTCAGAGGCTCACCGGCAGAATAGCCGCCCTTAACCACTTCATGTCGAAATTGGCAGATCGTTGCCTTCCTTTCTTCTGCACCATCAAG